GAAACCATAATTCATTTTAAAACTAATCGTTGACCTGCTCCCTACTATATATAGTTCATTACCTTGTGGTTCCCCATTTCATACATTTTAATCTCCTTGATATCAGCCGACTGTATGTATAAACTAGTGATTATAGATGTCACATATCCTAATAGTATATATTATATTCCACTATAGCACTTCGGGCTTCTCCAATTTATGATTGCATGTTTCTTGTGACGTCAATATAGATCTTTGCACTACATTCCATGGGTTTGTATTTCAGAATCGCTGATTCGTTTACCTTTTATCATCCATATTAATATTATACCTCTTTTATCATTGTTGTAGGCAATCGTGGACTAATCGTTGATATGTCCCTTATTTTTTTATTGTCTTATCGCTATCAATCCGTTGGGTTTATAATTACATTGTATTCAGCAGATATGGATAATTTTAAAGATGGTCACATACCATCTAATAACAACGATCTAATAATTGATTATGATCCTCTGGATCTTAATAAGTTTAATTTTGGGGCGACCTTAATTATCAATCGTCCAATGGAAACACAGCTGTTGTCAGCAATGTTTCTGTAGGTTTCCACGGCAGTAGTATTGCCATGGACCGTCTATATATCATGGTATTGCCAAGAAAGAATGTAAAACAAACCCTGGCGAATACAAGAAAACGAAAGGAAGGTAAAATTACATCTAAATAGCAATCAAAAGTCACAAAAGTCCCAAAATTGAGGGTAATTTAGTTAGTGCGATTGATACGACTGTTGTCGAGTCGTCTGAGAAGATCGCACCCAGAATATTAAAAAAAAAAAAAAAAAGCTGCAAATATTTCAAGGTCACTCAGCGTAATACTAATACCAAGCAATCTAACACTAGTAGTTTTCATACTCATGTTTTGGGCTCTACTTTTAGGAAGATAGGTTGCCAGGCAACCAAACATACGCCCACAGAGGCTAAATCGTTCGGGCAGTCAACAAGAGTTGTCGCATATTTTTTACTTTTTTCGATAATGAAACATTTATAATACATTAAAATCTGATTAAGAGTAACAACTCATTAAGTAATTATCAGAAAACCATTAGAATTTGTTTGCTTTTTATAAAGTTCTGCCCCATGCTAATGTTTAGTATACAAAACTTTTAACATCATGGATTTAGCTGTTCAAGTCATAAAAATTCATTGAAAATCAATATACAGTGCACTCTGTCATATCCGACATCGTATGGGGTCGTTACAATGTCGGATTACACAGAGTGTCGGAATACCCAGTTTTCTCAAAACCAGAAAGATAGGATGCCAGGCAACGAAACATACGCCCACAGCAGCTATATTGTCCGGGCAGTCAACAAGAGTTGTCGCTTATTTTTATTGTTTTCGGTAATGAAACATTTATAATACATTAAAATCTGATTAAGAGTAACAACTCATTAAGTAATTATCAGAAAACCATTAGAATTTGTTTGGTTTTTATAAAGTTCTGTCCCATGCTAATGTTTAGTATACAAAACTTTTAACATCATGGATTTAGCTGTTCAAGTCATAAAGATTCATTGAAAATCAATACACTTGTTCATCTCAAGACCTTAAACTCTGTGTACCAATCTGAAGTCAATCGGATGATAACTTTAGCTTCTAGAGCGTCACAAGATTTTTCAAAGTGATTAAAAATAACTCTGGCAGTAATTATCCGAAATCGTTGAAAATCAATATGATTCTTCATCTCATGACCTCAAACACTGTGTATAAATTTAAAGTCAATCGGATAATAATTTTAGCCTCTACAGCGTCCACAAGATTTTTCAAAGTGATCAAGGGCCATAACTCTGGCAGTAATTATCGGAAATCGCTGAAAATCAATAGGCTTCTTTGTCTTATGACCTTAAACACTGTGCATAAATTTGAAGTCAATTGGATATTAACTTTAGCCTCTAGAGCGTCCACAAGATTTTTCAAAGTGATCAAGGGCCATAACTCTGGCAGTAATTATCGGAAATCGCTGAAAATCAATAGGCTTCTTCGTCTCATGACCTTAAACACTGAGTATAAATTTAAAGTCAATCAGATATTAACCTTAGCCTCTAGAGCGTCCACAAGCAATTGTGGACGCCAGACTGACGGACGGGGGCGACGACAATATACGACCACATTTCAATGTGGGCGTATAAAAATTGTAACTTTGAAAACCGAAAGTATTATTATAATATAGATTCGAAAATAGAACTTCGAATCACCAGAATGTTATTCCCTTTAAAAATGATAAACCTTTCTGTACATTCAAAATTTTATTACATTACTTTTTATTTTATTTAACATGCGTAGGCATTTTGAATAGGTCAAATCTGTCGTTAATTTATCTTCTTTGCCGTCTTCAGTTGATCGCACTCTTGTCTTTGCTATCACGTGTTCATTGATAATGGGCGTACTCGATTTTACGTTCCGGAATTGAATTCTCTCAATCCCAAAAATATTGACAATCAAGTGAAAATGGATACTTTGGGCTACAACGCATGCATCGACTGGATATATAAATATCTCATCCAACCATGCAGCCAAAACCTGTTCGTCGTGTTTAATTACGTCACAATTCTACTCACACCACCTCCGTCGTCGGGACTGACAGAACTGTGACAGGACTGAATTCTGTGTCACTCGATTGCAATTCTGTCAATTTGGGACGTTCCGGACTGTGAATCGAGCATCGTCACGCGGTTCGAAGACATCCGTAGTGTGACCAAACTTATAGGTTATTCAGGTTCAATCGGCATGCGCAACGAATGTTTCCAACGAGTGCTAGGAATATTTTTACGACTGTGAATTCGGGGGAAAATTCGTGGATATTCTTGAGTATTTGTCACAACTGTCATACAAGAGATTAAAATTATCAAAGTAATCAACAAAGACCCACGGTAGCGAGTTTTAATCTCACAGATAATTGATTGGTGATTGCTTGTTAATCTTTTGTGGCTTTACACCCATCCAGTTTTAATCTCACGGATAATTGATCGGTAAGTGTTTGCTTCACACCCACTTGTTTGTCTCAAGACCTTAAACTCTGTGTATCAATCTAAAGTCAATAACTTTAGCCTCTAGAGCATCACAAGATTTTTCAAAGAGATCAAGGGCTATAACTTTGACAGTAATTATCGGAAATCGCTGAAAATCAATAGGCTTCTTTGTCTCATGACCTTAAACACTGTGTATAAATTTAAAGTCAATCAGATATTAACTTTAGCCTCTAGAGCGTCCACAAGATTTTTTGAAGTGATCAAGGGCCATATCTCTGGCAGTAATTATCGGAAATCGCTGAAAATCAATAGGCTTCTTCGTTTCATGGCCTTAAACACTGTATATAAATTTAAAGTAAATCGGATATTAACTTTAGCCTCCAGAGCGTCCACAAGCAATTGTGGACGCCGGCCGGCCGGACAGACGGACGGGGGCGACGACAATATACGACCACATTTCAATGTGGGCGTATAAAAAACAAGATTTTACGTACAATCAGGGGCCGTAATTCAGGAAGTTATGATCTGATATGCGCAAATATCTAAGGAACCAAGATCTTTGGGTTATAAACATACATTTCAAGTTCATCAAAATCAGATGAAAATTGTGACCTCTAGGAGTGTCCACAAGCTAAAAACGTGATTTTTCGTACAATCAGGGGCCATAATCTGTCAAGTTATATGCCAATATTGAAAGAAACCAGATCTTTGGGAGATAAGACCTATATTTTAAGTTTTGTCAAAACGAATAATAATTGTGACCTGTAGAGTGTCCACAAACCAATTGTGGACAGATGGACGGACAGGGGCGACGACAATATACCTCCACATGAAAATGTGGGTGTATAAAAACCCAAGCGTTTGCACATGCGTACAGATGTTGAAAATTCAATCGTCTCATAGAATGTATTCCATTACTTTGCAACAAGAAAATAAACGATGTTTCCCGACTGTGATGAAGAAATTTTCGTTCCTGGGACATAATTCTAACTTTTAATGTGACCAAGATCCATAACACGTTTGTCACAAAGAGTTAACTGCCTTGATAATGTGCTCAGAACATATTTTCAACCAATTTTTCAAACATGCCAAAATGATTATATCTTCAAAAACCAAACGTGGCCAGACTTCGATTGTTGACGAATGAAGTTTTTATGGTCAATCTTATCATATAATGCTAAAATAAGCTCGAATTATTGTCTATGTGTTGTAAAATTTGTTGAGCTTGGACCACCCTAACATCAGATTAACTTTTTAATCACTGTTATTGGATTGATAAATAGTCTGAGAACAGAGAAGCAACAGCGTCTTTCGTAATTGGGTACCGGGTATGCGCATTTTAACAACATTTTATGATACCCGGTACTACCGGGTAGACGCAATGAAAGGGTTAATGAATGGTCCGAGAAAGGATAAGTCAGTCAATCAAGGCAGATTAAGTAGTTAATCAAGGTTGGGGTATAGACTGTATAGCATGATAAATACTTTGATCACTTAATCAATCCAGCCTTTTCCAGAGAGAGAGAGAGGGGGGTTTAACATCCACTGGACACAAACTAGGTCATTTCGGTACTAACATATGGTTCAATTGTATTACAATAATTTGCTTGTGCGCAGGGGTCTCTAACAGTGGAAAAAAACGGAGGGACTCGGAAAACCCCCCACGAAGTTTGGACCGTTATACACTCAGTACAGTCAATATATTTTGGAATTTTGAATACTATTCACCATATCTTGATGTCCAATTGGGGATATTCCTGGTTGGATGTTTGGAAAATCACGTAGGACATGTCCGGAATATACCGGTGAAATAGCATTCCTGTGCCTAGTATACGTCCGACAACCACAACAACCATAGTTTTAACATTGTCATAACAATCCATGTCCATTCAACATGGAAACTGAAGAGATGCATCGCCACACAACTATATCCAGCATAAAAGCCTCCTAATGTACAGTATAATGTAGTCTCATTATACCAGGGCAGGATACTCACCTAACACAGCAAATATAAGTGTATTGGTAAAATGTCTATACAAAGACAATTTCACAATATTTCTTCGTAATCGAAGAGTTCTTGTGGTTTGAACTAATGCTGAGAATATGTGATTTACATTAAGGAATCATACTATCAGATAAATCAGTGTACAATACAACTTATAACAGTAAGCAGAAACACATGTGTGATTTACATGGAGGGGAAAGAAATGAAGTGAACATTGTACATGTTTACTGTTGTAACTTACCTCAATGCAAATATTGCCATAGGCCTACACTAAATAAAACCCAAGAACACATTCTGTTCTAGTCAAACTGGCAAATCATATAAATATCCCAACAACTGAACTTGCCATAGTAAAAATGTCATCTACTTAATTACTTGCAGTCTATGTCATAAACAATGTGAAGATGAAACCAAAAGATTGTTCTGCATTAGGCTGAAGGACCACTATGCATATATAAACTATAAGAGAGACAACCTGTTCGCCTCTCACTTTCTCTTACCGAGACACTCCAGTCGAAATCTTGAGTATCAAATAATTAAACAACTTGGTACCAAACCTGATCTCTCGAAATCTACTACCAAAAGACGCACCATTTAACTTCATGAATTATACAATTGAAAACCTTTCAACTACATGGTATCAACGACAAAATCTGAACTTGGGCATACCCCCATTTATTTTCTTTGTTGTAAAAAGTAGTTACAAGAAAAAGAATATAACTGTGTCAATGTATTATGATACCAAGAGGAATTGGAGCAAATTTTGACAGTAGTACCAAGTATATTATAATATAAAACACAAATTTATATGGAAAACAATCACTGGATTTATTTCACACTACATTTCAACAAGTTCCTCTTGTCGTTCTCAAGTAAGTAATAACAGTATAATACGTTCGTCGTTTCTGGAGTTTTACGTTCACTTCCACCTAAGGTGACATCGTAGACAAGACAGTATAATAGCAAGAAATCAAATATATACAACAAGGTAACAAAAACAATAACTAATATGAAACCATCAAAGGGCTAATAAAAAAGCAATAATAACATTACAAAATGAACATCAAAGATATTGATTAAGGATTAATTAAGGTATCATATCTCCTTGGAAGATATAATCCCTCATCGCTATTCAGTTGAGGTTTAAATCTCTTGATTTGGATGGCTTCTTGTAGTTTTCTGGATTTCTTATCATGAAGATGTTTGTTTAATACTTGCACTTCAGAATAGTTGACTTAGTGGCGTTTGTTCAGTTTCAGATGTTCATATACAGTGGATTTGTTGTCTGTGCTTCTCGATTGATGTTGTAATGATTAATGCATCGGATGATTCAAATTCTTTACTGGAACCCTTGAACAAGCAACACCCAAGGGCTGTGTGTACCAAATCACGTGTTCCTGTTCGAAGAAATACATTGGTGAAACCAAATGCCCACTAGTTAAGAGGTTGAAACAATATCAATCGAGAAGCACAGACAACAAATCCGCTGTATATGGACACCTGAAACTGAACAAACGCCACCAAGTCAACTATTCTGATAGAGACAAGGGATTATATCTTCCAAGGAGTTATCTTAATTAATCCTTAATCAATATCTTTGATGTTCATTTTGTAATGTTCTTATTGCTTTTTTATTAGCCCTTTGATGGTTTCAAATTAGTTATTGTTTTTGTTACCTTGTATATAATTTCATTTCTTGCTATTACACTGTCATTACTTAACTTGAGAAAGACAAGAGGTACTTGTTGAAACATAGTGTGAAATAAACCCAGTGATTATTTTCCATATAAATTTGTGTTTTATAAGGATTTCTTTAGTAACTAGTACTGTATAAATGGGGTTAATTAGAATTGAACCAAGTTTCCTAGAGATCGTCCTTTGAGGATTTAATAATATCTTTGATAAGATGTTTGTATGAATTAAATGTCCCCCGCCTTATAGAACTGTGATTTAGACCTTAAGATAGCAAACTAAGGGTTTTTATGTTTTGCATGGTGTAAGTCAATACGTTTTTCCCACAGAAGTTGAGCCTTTATTTTTTTACTCCATATTGACTTACAATGTAAGTTACATGTACATATGGATGAAATTTTTAAAAAATGACATAAAAAAAGATACGCCCACAGCAGCTAAATCGTCCGAGCGGTCGACAAGACTTGTCGCATATTTATTCCTTTGTAGGTAATTGGAGGCATTTACAAGACAATTCCATACATATCAGATTATAATTTTTGTCGTTTGAGGTTTCACAAGGTTTTACAAACTGAAACAACTCTTGAAGTAATGTACAGAAATTGTTGAAATTTGACAGGCTTTTTCGTTTTACTAATTTAAACAAGCCAATAGTGAGGCTAATGTCCCCTGCCGAAATCCGAAAATAAATAGATGACACATATTAATTAATAGCAGATAACTTTGATTCTATCTGATAGAGAGTGATGAAACTTAATGTAGAGTTGATAATCAGTTTGATTGCTTGATACTTTTGAAACAAATATCTTGTCCCAAAGCATCGACCAATGAAATTGCTTAGCTCTGCTTAGCTTTAGCTCGAAACGTTAATCATTAAACTCAGTCAAGACATTCACCTAATGAACATCAACAACAAGTTTAACCATTTTACCTCAATTAAAAGCAGAGTTGTTATGTTCCAAAGTCTTGGTCTAAGCAGAACATTCTCATCATCGAACTTAGTCAAGGTAATGATATAATGAATCTATACTCGGCATTTCATCATTCTCACTTAATTTAAACTAAAGTTATCGTGTCCCAAAGCATCAAACAATCAGGATGCTTATCTCTGCTTACCGTAAGCAGACAATGTTTATCATCTAACTCAATTAGAATGAGACTTATCGTGTTCCAAAGTCTCGGCCAATCAAATTGCTTATCACTCTGTTTACTCTGAGCAGAAAAATGCTCATTATGGAACTTAGTCAAGGTATTGATGTAATGAAACTATACATTACTTTCATCACTCTCACTTAATTACAACTAAAATTATCGTGCCCTAAAGCATCAACCAATCAAATTGCTTATGTCTGCTTACCCTAAGCAGAAAATGCTCATCTTCGAACTACATCAAGGCATTGACCTAATAAACACCTACACCAAGTTTAAACATTCTAGCACAATTAGAAATAGAGTTAATATGTCCCAAAAAGTGTGACGGACAGACGGATAGACAGACAGACGATTCCATTTTAATAGTCCCCTGCTTTCTTCGAAAGGCAGGGGACAAATATAATCACCATTTAGAATATTATCATAATGGCTAGAAAATGTCATTAAAATAGAATCTTTCTGCCAACATTACACATGTTTACATTTCTCACGAGAATTCTACTTTGTTTTTCATCAGTTCAATTAATCAATCATAAAAATTCTACTTTGCAAGCCTGTAATTATTTCTTTATTGTCCAATCAATAGATGCCTTCTATTTTACATATTCTATTATTAGTAACATTGTGTAAAGGTAATATTATCGCCATGCCTGGTGCAAAGAGAAACAGTGTGTGTATATGACGATACGACTTATTTCCCATAAAATATGGTATTCCAGTTAAATACGGTAATAAGTTAGATATAAAGGCTTGTATAAAAGGATATCCACCAACATATTACAGCATCTACTACAGCTAATGGTACTGCAGCTAATAATGAATCTTTCTGTGGAGCACTTTTTTTCTAAAAAAAAACCGAACAAAATAACATCATACTGCACTAAACATAATTATTAAGCAAATTAATCTTTGAGAAAAAATAATATTTGTATAATAACATTTGTATTTACAAATTGAACAGATAGTGTCATATATTTATGTCTACAGTTTAAACTAGTATCATTGTAATATTTATACAATATAGTCCGGTTGCAAAACCCAATATTTCGAGTTAACCTGGAAATTGTATACAATGTTTTTTTATGATTGATTTTAGTAGCCTAGGGTGTCCGCTTTCAGAATCTGCCGGGTGAACGTCGGTCACCCTTGAGCGCTTTGAAAAATTCAAGATGGCGTCCAGGACGGCCCCATATCAAATAATCAACTATAGCTCCCATAGTATTTATTCTAGGATGATAATTTTGGTGCCTAACCGTACATTTCTGGGGTCAAGGAATACACACTGAAATCGTTCATTACGTTGTGGAATGATTAGCTGACGGTAATATCCAAAATGCCAGAGTATGACACATTATCTCGTTAGTGGCCATTATTTCACCAAAATATCTAGAGACAAATTATATATTTCTGAATATAGGAGCATGGAAGAGATAGGATAACACCATATACATGTCTATCAGGGGCTCCAGGGCCACATGGGTCAGTCCTGAAAAGGGAGGCCCAAGCTGATTGTTGAAAATTTAAAAAAACAAATTCTACCCGCAAAACAGGAACATGAACTCCACAAAACTAGGTAATATCCAGTTTAATCCTTTAGTTGTGTTTCTGGCTGCAACCCGTGACAGCAGAAGCGCAAAATATGGTATATACTAAGTCATCCCTAGGGCTGCTACAAGCACAAGTACTACATAAGCTGTCACTCTTGCATCCACATCTGATTAGCAACATGGCAGACCTTGGAACAAGTTGGCCGGTTGTAATGTTCTCAATTTGATATCCTTCTCGGTGGATTCCAATCTTCCAGTGAACGTCACACAATAGCTTGGTGATGACCTCTTTTTACATTCTCTCCAAATTTATCATTCGTTGAGCAAGATTACATGGTTTGAGTGGGGAATAATGACGATACATTTCCAGTTTTAGATGTGTTTCAGACATAGATTTCTAGAACTTTATCTATAACAAGCTTATATAAATACAGTGGCCTGTGCAACTGTGTAAGCAATGATTCTATTGGAGTGTCTATTACTCGACGAGTGAGAGAGAATACAATCAAGCTCTAACCACTTTCAAAGCTGTTCCTTTTCCCAGTAACAGCATGAGCTGGCAGGATTTCAATGGTAATTGACATGTGTTTCTCCGTAGATTGACCGATGACAACGGTTGTTCTTTCCTCAATTGGCGATTCCACTGTAAGCTTGTTATGGACCGAGCTCTTGCAAATCGATGACTGAAACACACTGGGGGGTATAGGCATCTAAAACTGGAAATGTATCGACATCATCCCCACCTAAACCATGTAGTCTAGCTCCAACAGATGATGCATTTGTAGCGAACGTAAAAATATGTCATCGCAAAGCTATTGGGTGGTGTTCACTGGACACTAAATTGAAAACATTACAACCGGTAAACTTGCTGGGGAGTCTGCAATGTGGCTCATCACACTGAGAACTGCTAAAGGGTGAATCTGTGCACAGCCACCCTATAATTCTCAATTATCGTTATTATTTGTACGTGTATCGAAAGAAAATTAATTTTTCGTCTATTACTCAGTATTACCGCATTAAAAAGGTAAATAAGGTGTGTTAATTAACAAGGGGTGAAAAACTGTCCGACAGTGCGTTTTCAGTAGAGGTGTGTTAATTAACCGACCGGTAAAAAATGAATGTCAATGTTGTGTATTGTTTAATTGGCGTGTTTTCTTGCTAGTTGCGATAACTGCATCAAAAGGAGTATAATCAAGGACCAACAGGCTTTATCTGACACGTATGTGTTACATCAAAATTTGGGAAGTAAAACTGTTTTACTGTGCGATTTATCATTCGACCGTGTGTTTTACACAGGTCTTTGTATAATTAAAGGCAGGTCTTTTGACAGGCGTGTGTGCTCGCTATGATCTACGTTTCTCTTATGTGTCTTTGGTATTGCGTACCATATATATAAAGTTGAATTTAATGAAATAAAAATATGGATTTATCGTATACGGAAAGGCGAATGTAATGTCGTCATTTATAAATACCAAGCAGTCAGCGCCCAATTTGAATATCGACGGGAATATAGAGAGTAAATCCAGCAAAAACAACATAAATATATTTCTGCTTTATTACTAAAAAGACGCGCACTCACCGTTTGACATTTATTAAATTTATAAAAACGTGCCACGTTGCATAAATTGTGCATCTTACCTTCAATAGCAATATCCATAAAACAGAAATCTCCATATTGATAAATAATACGGCACAACCAACCGAACAGTGGTAATTTCCACACAAATGATATATTCAAACTAAAATTACTTTAGATTTTCACTAAATTTACATCGCGTACAATCCAACGATCCTCATTCCAGAACTTGTAATTTATAATATATTTAAACTAAAATTACTTTAGCTTTTCACTAAATTTCCATCGCATAAAATCCAACGATCCTCATTCCAGAACTTGTAATTTATAATAGCCGTTTTTATGCAATTACAGAATTGTCCCGTGATCTAACATATCAAAGAAGCACATCCGCCGGATATGACACGTAATCATTTTTTGAGACTTTGTAGATTGGATTTCCTTGTTGTGTTTTCTTCGTCATCCTAATATATAAAACTACAGGTTAAATGATTTCTTCAACTTTATTATTAAGCTGGATTGGCTTCAAAGGTCCCTTGTTCTCAATAAATGATAGCTGCTCGGAATACCTGGGTGAGCTCTGATCAGTCTCACTCAATATCCTCTTTTATAACCCCCTAATTTCTGCACATCCTAGACTGACCTTGACTTTAATTTCAATCTAAAATATGGAATAAACCTCCCCATTTCCCAAGACCGGGGGGGGGGGGGGACATTACCTTATTTGGTCTACCAACCATATGTCATAAACAGATAGAATTTGATGGATATTTTGACAATGGTTAGGATTTTACCAAAATATCACTGGTTTTTTTTACATATAAACATGTCATTCGCTTTTATTAGTACGTGGGATTTGACTCTATAGAAAGAGTTAACCAATATTGTCTAAAGGACCGAATTCTTACAACTTGTCTTCTATTCTTTCGACTATACTTGGTGTTTATACTGCATACCATATAGTCATACCATATTGACCTTAATCTATCGCACGAAATGCAATGTCGTCATTTATAAATATCGAACAGGTAGACTCCAATTTCAATATCCCCCGGTATATAGCGAATAAGTCAAATTTGCCGTATGTAAATATACATGTACTGTCTTCTTATTGTTACGACGGGCACCTGAAATAACCCAACCACATCAGAAAGCAATATAAGGTTTATTTTATAATCATTTTAGACATTGTTTCATTTGATTAAACGCGCAAGTTCACATATTGACCTTTGATTGGTGGTATGCATTGAAGGCTGAGCCGTTGGCGCCGAAATGAAAAATAAAAATCAGCATGGTATTGTATCTGTCCCGTGGATTAAGCGAAGATTTTAAAGTTCCATAAACTTATAATTACTGAACAAATGGATCTGCTCCCGATAGAACTAGACGATATAATTACTTGGGACATGATGTGAACATTTAAATAGTTCATCAATAACACCGTCTACATTTCCAATCGTTTTTTTAAACTACAATATTAGAGCACTAGTATCCTGTAAATACAGTCAAACTGGGGGAAAGTATTGCCATCTTTTTGTTATGGTTGATTGATAAGAATGTTTGAAAACGTTGACCTCTAGGTATTGCGTAACAAATGTGGTGTTTTGATACTTGATTGGGGTCATAAAGTAATAAACTAATTAACAAGCTACACGCGGATTATTTATTTCAATCAAAATGTGTATTAGAAGTTGCTGTCTGAATTAGGGTTGTTAATTTTGTTTATAGATTTATTCATTGACTGTTTTCGCTAACTTAAAAAATCGTGCAAACTAAAAAATAAGGTAATTTATGGTTAAAACTTTTTATGGCATGTAAATAGAATGAATACATAGAAACGTGTATAGTAAAATTTACTGCAACCAGTAACAAACTATCTCTTGATACAGGCGTATCTGTTTTATGGAATAATCCACCATTTAGTTTAAGATGTTGTACATATCTATGTTCTTTAAAAAAAAACTATTTAAAACACAGTTATTTAAACGGGCTTTAACCGACGCTACATGTCCATAATCTTGATTTTCTTAAGATTAAATTGTCACTTTGTAAAGTGACCCTAAGTGGGCACACTATAATAATATATAGTAACAAAATTTCGATTTATAGTATTAATATTACTTTGTCCCCTTTATTTGCAAAACATCTCTCCGATGATAATAATAAATTTGAATTACTTCTCCGTACCAGTTGGAAACGTAATTGTCTAAGGTCTAAATGAAATGTGAAGTTTAATCAAATATAAAATTACAATGCTGTTTGTTTCAAAGCTGCGTTCGTTGAGGGGCACGATGGCTTAGTGGGTAAGACGGTGGCTCGCTAGCCCGGAGGTCGGGTGTTCGATCCGTGCATTGGCCGGGAAAGTTTATCCAGATATTACTGCGTGATTCCCCCTTGTCTATGGTGCAGGACGGAGGATCTGACAAGGACAGCTGTCAGTTCTATTTATACATGTTAAGGCGTGTGCGAGCTTATTTGCACGTATTGGAAAACTGTTCGGTTGCTTTATTTGAGAAGATACTGATATTAAACTATAAGATTTGTCAATTTTTTTTTTGAAAATTCTGATAAATTGGTAGCTCTTCGGGAAGCGTTGATCATATCGCCTACCCTGTTTGTGTATTGTACGTTTTTTTAATAGCTAGCAAATAATTTATGATATTTGAATACTTTCTGATAGAATTGTTACTTTGATCAAGGAGCTGTTATTGCTCTGCACGG